ACGTTTTAGTTAATACACTTTATTGCATTTTTATTTAAATACTTGACGCCATACAGAATCCTCTTATCCTGTTTGTTCATTTCTAATTGTGTTTTTGTTTCAGCCGGAAGTGGCGGCACCTTTAAAAGTTTTAAAGGCTTTTCTTTGGCCACATCAGCAGCGCGCGGAGCCACGACGGCGTTTTCTGGTTTTGGGAACGGTGCGGCTTTAAAGGCCTCAGCTCTGACCAACGGAAACGGCATCACGCCATCGTTCGAGGTTTCTCATCCACTGCTGCACCCGGTGAGCAGAGAACAGCTGTCCTTCCATGTGAAGTGACCGATTATTGGAGTTGATGTTGTTTGGCGCCTCTATTGGCTCCACATCAGGTGTGTGCGTCCGTTCAGCTGGAGCTACTGTGGCCGTGACCCGCAAACATCCAGTCCACCGCTGCTGAAGTGTGACACAGAGAGAGAGAGAAGATGCATTATACGTGATGACAGTGAGGAACGTTCCGGCGCCGTCTGTGGCGAAGGTTTCGTTTCCGCTTTGCAGAGGAGAGCGACTGTTTGCTTTGTCATGGAGAGTTAACTCGAGTAGGGATGTCAGGAAACGAGACCAAAATCCTGAAAACCGGTCGGTACCGTAGATTCAACCGTGGACGTGTGAAGCTGCAGCTCCGTCTCGACTCGTCGAATATAAATTTGTAAACCAGGTGAAGTTTCCTTCAACAGCTTTGGTCAAAGCCTGGATTTCTCCCAGTTCTGGATCTTTGGAGGCTGATTCAGGACACGCGCCGGGGCGATTCGTCGACGTAGTAGATTATGTAAATAAGTCGACTTGCGTTACGTGCGTCGAAGCGTCGTTGCATCCGGTGTTTGTGGGATTCCCCCGGACAAGCTCCAGCTACAAGCCGCGCCTTCGACTGTCCTAAAGTTCGGGAGTATTTTAGACAAACGATGAACAACAGCTGCTCCGTGACGCTGAACTGTAACGGCTTCGCTTCCTTTTAAAACGGAGACCTTTTGCTACGTTTGCTCCTCCCGTCCAGACTAAAAACTAAAATGACGAAACAAATACCCAAAACGGAGAAGTTTGGAACGCTGTCGACCCCATTTCGCATCTTCGAAACTCTGGAGGGCGTTTTAGTGCGGACGGGCAAAAACGGAGACTTTACAACGATGATGCAGGCGCTAATGTTTGGCTCTCTGATTGGTCCTCATGCAAATAAACGTAGGCCTATCTCCTACACTTGTACTGTGCACGTCGCCGTTTACTTTGCGTCGACTCCCATCTGTTTTCCGCCACCACGCCGCTTTTAACTCCCTGTTACATTCAGCAACAGTCCCAGCTCGTTATTGGTCCATGCCAAAAAAATCTGTTTCTGATTCTTGGTCTGCAGGACTTTTTCTTTCGACAGATCCGTGCTTTTTCAGTTGTTTTAATGTAGACGAATCAACTCTGAATCTCTGCTGTGGACGGAGATCGGATTTGTTTTAATTGTGGGTGGGGCCTAATGCGACGTGTCACAGTCTCATCACCTGAAAATCACCGAAGTGACGAGACAGTTTGCAGCTCCAAGGACCGACGTCTGTTACTGTGGGGAGAAAAGTTAGATATAAACATCTCAGTGTAAGGTTGTAATTTCCTTGATAAATTGACATTAACCATCATCTGTCCTGACCTCCTCCAGCTGTTTAGTAGTTCTCTTGTTTCTGTTACAGGGGTGGTGGAAGAACACGAGATTTATTGTTTTGTTTTTTACCTGGAGTCGAACTGGTGTTGATCGTGACGTCCTTTTAGCCCCCCGCTAACTTGAACATGGTTAAAATAATAAACTGTGTGGCTCTTCTAGACTTTCCAAATGTTCTCGAACGAAGGAGGAAACTCTGATAGCGAAACTGTCGTGTCTCTGGTGTCGCGACGCTCGAGGGATCCACCGTTACATCCGCTCGGAGCACCTTCCTGTGGGCTTGCAGGAAATGCGATGCTACCAAGCCGACCGATCGCGACTTGGTTCACACGCACTTTTGACTTTTCAGTTTGTGGAGCCGCCGTGTCGTCACCTGATGGTTTGTGGACTGGCATTTTGAAGCCTCAAGTTTGGCGTTTTGGCTGTCGCCATGTTGGTTTTTTGGAACAAGACGTGACCATATTTGGACGAGAGGGTGGAGCTAGCAAGGTGACATGAACAGCTGATTCAGGGAACTCTGGTAGGGGTTAAATAAAGTCTGTGTTCATGTTGGTGTTGTGTAAAGCTGGACTCAGACGGCTGCTTATCCAATAATAACATAACTAAAAGCTGCCTGTACCGTTTGAGCACTAACTCATGAGAACAACAAATCAATGTTTATCTCACTGACTCAGCTTTTTGTGCCGTTCATGAAGCTCAGCAGACAAAGCTGCAGATATTTCACAATAAAGCCTTCTAGGAATTAAAAATTATGGCCGTGTGATACGGTCAAAAATGTTATCACGATAAAAACATTAAATATCATTTGATATCGATAAATGTCAAGTCATTATTTATTATTTATTTTAAGATTAAAATCAGATTTTTACTCCTGAGTGAAAATTGAAGAAACCAGATGGTTAATTTTGTTGTTAAACTTCTCTTTTTAACACTTGATGCCGAACCGTTGATCACTGACAAATATAATGTAGAACATTTAAAACTATTATGATAAATTCTTTGTCAACAAATATGATCAGTAAATCTTTTTCAGTCCCTTTTCCTCACAAAATAATATTTAAATAGAAAAATTAAGTGCAAATTTCGTGATTCAAATAATAAATTAATACAATATATGAACATTGATCAAATTGTTGAGTCATAATTACCAATAATGTAAAATGTGTTTTTTGTTGCTTACTTTCACACGATGTGCTGAGAACGGTGACTAATATCTGTTTGTTGTGATGGACATTGATTTGAAAGTCAATACTAATCTTTCCTTCACCATCCCTGGAATAAAGAATAGATGTTGTTGTAACAAATATAATCTCAGGTCCCGTCTCTGCTTATTAATGGTTACCTCAACCTTCTCTAACGTTATCTCTGGGAACAGCTTATCAGAACAATACTGTCATTTTCTGGTGTATTGTTCCACTGGCTGCCATCGGTTATTAAAATCTGCACTAGCTGTTTTCAGCGCGCTGCAGCAGAGCAGCTCTCCCTTTGCACTGTGACCTGGTTTCAGATCCTGTTAAAATCCTCCCGGCTTGTATAAAGGGTCGCGCTCTCTGCTGGCTGGCTTCACTGCTCTGTGGACGTGAAATAGTTGAAAACGTTCTCCATTGTTGCAGCTTCTTGGTTTGGTGCTGGGGAGTAATGGAGCTGAATCGGCGGCGGGAGGGGGGGGGTGTTTGGCTGCTCATTCATTTGATGTCGTCGCTGCAGGGCAGGACGGGGGGAGGGAGGCAGACTCCTCGTTTCTCTTCCTCTCAGCCTCGGCTCCTGTCACACTAACATTCCTCCCCTCTTCATCTCAGGTCTGACATTCAACGGCCCCGCCTCCGCCGCTGACATCAGCGCCAAGCAGACCAATGGCTCCGCCCCGAGCCCGACTCAAAGCCCGAGCTCCTGCAGCAGCGGCGGCAGTGTCGGCAACAAGGAGTACAGCCGGCAGCTCACCGCTCTGAACTGCTCCGTGCGGGACTGGATCACCAAGCACGTGAACGGCAACCCTCTGTGCGATCTCAACCCCATCTTCAGGGATTACGAGCGGCACCTGGCCAGCATCGAGCGGCAGTATGGCGCCGGGTCTGTTGACGGGGGCTCCGAGGAGAAGAAGCAGGGAGGGATGCTGCCGTCCGCGGCCACCCCTCCTCCTCCTCCTCCCGTCTCATCTTCCTCCTCCAGCAGAAGCAGCCCGGCGGCTCCGGCTCCGGCCGCCGCTTTGTTCTCCTTCTGCAAAAATGTGACAGAAGACCGGGACAAAAGCGCCGCCGACGCTCCGGCCAGCGCCGGCGTCTCGTTTAACTTCGGTCAGAAGGTGGACAGCTCGGTTCTCGGCTCCTTGGGGTCTAAAACTACTCCCCCCAGCTTCTCCTTCTCCTCCTCCGGCGCCTCCTCCACCCATACCTCCCTGTTCGGAGCTCCTGGATCTGCTGCGCCGCTGTCCTTCAGCGGGAAGAACGAGGACGCTAAGCCCGCAGGTACCCCGTCAGGAAGAGATAAATGAGAAGAGGAAGCTTAAATCTGTCATTTATTCTTCACTGCTTCATTAGAGGAAGCTTAACGAACTAATCAGGGCTGCTGCTAACAGTTACTCTGCTAAATGCTTGGCTGATTCATTGATTTGTGGTTATCGGTCAAAAATGCCAAATATTCTCTGGTTCCAGCTTCTCACATTCGAGGATTTACTGCTAAATTATATATCTGAGTTTTGGAAGCGATTTTAAGGTTGTGAGCTAATTGATTAGTCCATTAAATGTCAGAAGTTTAAAAAGTTCCCCGAGTCCAAAGTGACGTCTTCATCTGTCCAAAACTCAAAGATTATTCAGTTTACTGGGACGAACAGGAAATGTGAAAAACAGACCTACCTGTCAGCTCTACTTCTAATCACTGTTGGATATAAGATCATTTAAGGTTTATCTGCTTCCTCTGCATGTGGTTTAAATTTAATTACATAAGACTTAACACTTCAGCTGCGGTTTAAAATGAAGCTTGTTGGTGAATAAATGAGTACTGACTCGTTTGTCTTGTTATAAATTGCTGAATGTTAGTAATTAGCTGAGTGGGACACGGCGGGAGATGAGGACGCCGTCACAAACGGAGCTTCAAATAACGATTATTTTCACTGTCGATTAATCTGCCCATCAGTTTCTCATTTATTTAGTTAATCTTTTGGTCTGTAAAATATCAGAAAAAGTTTAAAATTCTCGACACAACCAAACACCAACCAGTCTGATTCTTCAAGACAGTCAGTTCACCATCCAAAAACCAGAAAACACTCCCTTAAATGATCATTTTATTATCGCTCAGCCAGGTTCTATCGATTTAATTCAGTAATTGTTCATCTCCAGCTAAAACCTCATGTTTTATAAATGGACTTTGGTTAAACAAGAAGTACTTTTCATCCTCTGTCCCTTTGAGATGAGTCTGCTGTCAAATCCTTTTGCTCCTCATAGAAATCCTTTAAAGCTGAAGCTCTGTGGGGATTTTAGTTAAATATAAGATGTCACATTTAAACTCTGTTTTATATATCAGATCTAATCTGTCCTGGACGAGCGAGCAACAGCTCTGAGCTGATGTTCAGTTTGCTGTCGTATGAAACAAAGGGAAGCAGGAAACGATCTGAAAAGGCTCGTGTGTCTCTCTTTATTTGGTTAAACTGCTAATTATTGAGTTTAAATCGAGTAATTAAGTCACCTTCGTCAGGTAACTAAATCATTAAGTGCTTGTAATTAGCAGACGTGGAGTTAATCATCTGTATTAAGGAGAGTAAAGATGTAATTACTACTGTTAACACTATATTACTATTATAGCAGACAAAAGACAGCAGACGAGTTTCTGCAGGTCGACAAACCGTCTCAGCTGAACTCCCAAGTTAAAGCATTTAGATTTTTTATGATAATTCTTGTTGAATAATGTGAAGCTTTTAATTAAGATGTTGTTTTTCTCTTTATAGACGAGAACAAAGACGAAGAGTCGGAGGAGCCGCCCAAACCCGAGGTCAAAGAGGTGAAAGAGGACGACGCCTTCTACTCGAAGAAGTACGTCTGACTGGGTCGTCTGAATGATTTAAAAACGTTTGTTGGTTTTAGCTGAAATGAAGTTTGTTCTTCATCATTTCTCTTTCAACCAGAGTGATTTTCTCTTCTCAAAGTATTTGAATCATTTTAGAGGCTTAAAATGGTCTAATTATTTCACAAGAAGAAGCAGCAGCAGGGTACCAAATTTACAAGACCCGTGGATTCAAAAACACCCGTGCGTTTGGATCCTGCTCCTCGGTTCCTGACTTCCTGCATATTTCAGCTCCTGACTTCCTGCAGTCAGCGTTTTACAGCCCATCAAGTGTCTCTGATCTGCCAGCAGCTGCTACGCCGACCGAACGTCACCTCATTTGTTACGTCCATGAAGAAGAGAGTCCTTGTGGTTCCGGTCCCGGACCGTGGCGGCCCGCAGCAAACGCTCCAAAGTTTCTTAGCTTCACTAAAAACCCGCAGCAGCTGCAGTAAGGAGGTTTGGTGCGAGGGAGGAAGCGGCTCCGACATGACGAAGCGTTTCCTTCAACGCGGCGTGAATCGCTTCACCGCGTTCAACGTTAACGATAACAGCAGCAACGCCTCAGGTCCAAAACACAGGTGAGCTCACCTTTTATACTGAAGGGAAACCAACGATGGCTCCAGATGAGACGAGTCCCAGAGACGCCGCTCTAGGACAGAGACTCCTTTTGCTTTGGAGACATAAGGGGACGAGGAGGAAGAAGAGGAAGAAGATCTGTGGTGAAGGAACCAGAACGACATCCAATAAGTAGAATCAGAATCGATAAAATTGAAATGATATCCAACCCTAAAGACGTCAGAAACAAAAAGTGTTTGACCCCTCAGGATGATGTCGGGACCCTTTAGGGGGCAATAAAATAATCAAAGACATTGAATGAATGAATAATAATGTGGTTTCTGCTCTCCGGAGTCTTTGTTTAATTTAAATCCTCAGAGCTTCACTGAGTGTATTTATATCGCTCAAACCAGGTGAGGAACATTTAACAGCACAATAATCTAGAAGGAAAAGGATGTCTGTCTCAAAATCTTTGTTTCACCAGATTCCTTTAAAATAACGGGTGTTTTTAGCCGTCGGACTGAAATCCAAACCCCTCTCTGTGCCGACGCTGGATTATTGATCTTTACTTGTATATTTTCACAGAACACTAACTTTGATTTGTTTTTTAACTTTAAGTGTGTTGTTGTTGTTTCTGTCAGGTGTAAACTGTTCTACAAGAAGGACTCAGAGTTCAAAGAGAAAGGCGTGGGAACTCTGCACCTCAAGGAGATCGAGGAGGGAAAAACTCAGATGGTCATTCGCGCCGACACCAACCTGGGTAAAACATCCAAAACTCAGACGGCGACATGTTGCAAAGAAAGTGTTCGCCTCCACGCTCGAGCTGCAGCTAGAGCTCTGACTTGATGAAGATACACGCTCATTATCTGCTTACTGATTATTTGTCCTTGTTCTTTAAAAATGTTGAAAAACGCCGTCACCCTTTCCCAGAGCCTGAGGAGACGTCTAAAGATTTCCAAAACCCAAACGTTACTCAGCAAACAAGAACAAACAAGAAAGGAAAAGTGTTCTTTGTAGTGTGGACGACCTGAAGGCGTTCAGTGATTTAAACACACATAAATAACTCCAGGCACAGACTGAAGAGGGAGCAGTCCTGGTTTTCTATTTTCTGTCAGCTGAGCTGTGATCAAACGGCGCCACCCGCTGGTCAAACAGAGGAACAGCTGCTTCCTGTCTCTCAGGCCTCTAAGGCGAGACGCTGCCTTTCATAGTTAATGACTCACATTAAGACAATATTTTTTTGTATTGTAGGTTTTCTCAAATGTTTAAGTATGCAAATGAGGCCGTCTCTAATGAAATTTGCATATTTTCCAAGAATTGAAATCTGGATTAAGTCAGGTTCAAAATAATTTTTATTTTGGTGACTTATTAGACAGAGGGGATTTTGGATGTCTGTTATTTCATAAATGAAAATACTGTCGGGTATTAAATTATTTTTTTTGGAATCAAATGTTCTCTAGTTCAGGCTGCGACTGATACACGAACAAACCGCTCAGCAGATAATCAGGAATGAAACTGGAAAGTTTGTCAGAGCTGCTGAGGTGGAAAAAGGGCCGTTAAAGATCCTTAACAAGAAGTAGTCTGAAAGAAAACATGTTCGCGAAGCAAAGTAGAAAGATGAACCATGTTTCTGCCGGCCGGAGATCTAAATCACGCAAGCTGACGGTTCTCCTCAGAGCCTGGTTACATGGCACGTTAAAACGTTTTAGCTGAGCTTCAGGGAAGTTGCCAGTCGAAACAGGAAGTGCCGTTTTTTTGTTGTTTGTTTGTTTAACGTGACAAAGAACCGGACATGACGTACCAGGAGGAGGAGGAGGAGGAGGAGGGTGTTTAGGCTGGACAAGTTCAGAGTTATTAAATCATTGGCAGGTCGAGTCGGCTTCAGATGTCTCCACATGTTGAGTCTTTAGTAAAGCAGCAGTGTTGAACCGTCTTTAGAGTCAGTTTACAATCCAAACTTTAAAGGTGTTTTGACGCGTTCATATTAGAGCTGCAGCGATTTAGTTTTCAAATAAAACTAATCGTCATTTTGATAATCGATTTATCGCTTTGAGTCCTGATTCCAGCTTCTTAAATGTGAATATTTCCTGGTTTCTTTCCTCCTCTGACAGTAAACTGAATATATTTGGGTTGTGGACAAAACAAGACGCCACCTTGAACTTTAGGAAATACTGATCCACATTTTTCACCATTTTCTGGATCAGAAATGATCGTTACTTTCAGCTCTGGTTCATACTGCAGTGTTTTTCATTCAACAAGAACATTTACACAGTACATCAGGTACTAACAGCACAGGAGAGCTGAGAGCACGAAACAGACAGCGGTGGCGCAGTGGAGAAGACATGTCTCTGGTGTGGGAGACGCAGGTTTGATTCCCACTGCAACATCCACCAATGTGAGCAAGACACTTAACCCCTCGTTGCTCCAGAGGCGTGCGACTGATCAAAGTTTCTGTGATCAAAGTTTTTCGTAACGGCAAGAGACGTAAGCCTCGTGCAGACGACCGTTCACACTACACGACTCGCCGTCTTGTGATGGGAGTCTTGAAGTGGTTGTGGCGTTCACACTACGTGACTGATCGGTGACAGGAGGTCGCGCACTACACCAGCTGACAGCGGCTGAGTCACCCAAACCACGTTTAGTCAAGAAAACACACGTGAAATGTGAAACGAAATGTCGCGAACCTGCACATGAAACAGCTGTTTGTTATTATAAAGACACAGAATCTGGACACGTGCAGGTAGCAGCAGTCTGAGCTGCAGAGAGTAAGAAGGGATGGCTGGATGTCGAGTCGGCCGACTCCTCCAGGCATTCGGCGTGCTAGATATCTGGCAGACGTCGGCGATGTGTCAGAAATGCGTCCGGGAGCCGTTTTGATGCGTCGTCGTGTAGTTCACACACAACGTGTCGTGTGAACTAGGCTTTCAACTCAATCCAATAACGACGTTTGTGAACCGAAAAACTTCTTTAATGAATAATTGTCTTCACGGTAAAATAAAACATAGTTTTGTTTCTCATGCTGTCATAATAACAGTGAGTAACGTTAACGTGAGAATTGAAATCATCTGGCCAATCAGATTGCTGCTGTGGAGCGTGTGTTATTTGTGACTGAATGAATCAAGAAAACAATCAGATGAATTGATGAAAGTAGTCGTTGGGTGCAGCTTTAAGCCGAGCGACGTTTCTTTCTATAAACGGACACGTGAAGCTCTGAAACGCTGAAAGACGTTTTCGATAATGAAATGTGACCTTTGCTCCTCTCCAGGAAACATCCTGCTGAACATCATCGTGCAGGCCTCCATGCCGTGCTCCCGGGTCGGGAAGAACAACGTGATGGTGGTGTGCGTCCCCAACCCGCCCGTCGACGACAAGAACGCCAGCAGCCCCGTCCCCCTCCTCATCCGGGTCAAGACCGCCGAGGACGCCGACGAGCTCCACAAGACCCTGGAGGAGAAGAAAGGCTGAACCCCCCCGCCCCCCCTGAGCTTTTAGCAGACCTCACCCGGTCTTCCTCGGACCCTCCAGACCCCGTCGACCTCATCACGCCGGTTTTATCCACACACATACTCACACACACTCACACACATTTGTACTTTAAGTCCTGGTGATCCACGTCCCCCCTCAGTCTCCCACAATAAATTGGTCGTCATACTGTGAAATATTTGCGTTTATTTTTAATCACAAACGTCAGAAGCAGGTCGCCGCCGGCGCCATCGCTCTCCGGATCGGCTACATTCCTCCTGGCTGGACGCTGCTGTTTTTATCAGAAGCAGATCGATGTATTTAATCAGTCTGTGTTTCATTTTACTGTTTTAATTTGGTGGCGAGTGACTGAAAGTGTTATAGTGCGATCTTTACCACAGAGTTATTTTGGGGTGGGGCTCCAAATAAAGGTCCAGGATTTGGTTTTACAAATTAAGTACTCGCAGTAACAGTTAACGTTTTAAATGATGAACGTGGCGAGGATTTAGTGCGTCTGCCGAGTGTTTTTTTTGCTCTGGGAACTATTTATTGTGTCGGCAGGATTTGAACTCGCTGACCGAACGTCGTGTGACCGTTTCCCCTGAAGAGCTTCTGGAAACGGTGTGTGGAAGGGAAGTGTTTTTATTTTCTGTAAACATGGACTCTGTTGTTGACACAAGTGTCCTTTGTGTAGCCTTCGGTTCGGCCTTCGAGATGAGGCATGCTGTCATCGTCTGAGAACATTTGTAAAGACATTTATTGGGGAATAAAAAGGAAACAAACCTTCTCTGCCTGCTGCTTTTTCATTTCTGTGTTCTTATTTTAACTTTCAGCTCCATTAAATTAAACCTCCCACTTCAGAAGCTGCTCGGGTCAACGAGCTAAATGTTACTGAAGCTGCAACGATTAGTCGATCGAAAGAAACTAAACTATTTTGATAATCGATTAATCGTTTCAGTTTGTTTTTAAGCAAAACTGAAACGTTTACTGGTTTAATTATAAATGTGAAGAATTGCTGTTATTCTGTTAAACTTTGGGTTTTGGACAGTTGGCTGGACAAAAGAAGCGATTTTGAAGACGTCACTTTGAGTGTATTTAAAAAAAAAAAACCTGACATTTGATGGACTAAACAACAAAAATCCATTAATCGTGAGAATAATCGCCAGATTAGCCGATAATGAAAATCGTTAGTTGCATCCCTGGATTAACGTCTCGCTCCATTTCAGGTTAAAAATCTGTGAGGTTAAAGGATAGTTTCTGTATTTGTAAACACTTTTCCACATTTGTTGGTGTTGAAATGACTCGTAGATGCTTCAGCCGGCAGCTGACCTGGAGTCTTCCTTTGTCAAAATGGCGTCCACAGAAAGAGCTGCTTGTTGCTTCTGACAGGCTCAGACGTTACACCAGGTGTCTGACAACATCATGGGGACGCCCCTTTGTTTTTAACGGGACATGAAGTCTCGCTCTGAAATCTCGTGAGAGGCGAGTTGTTGCAGGACGCCGCCGGTGGAAACGAGCGAGAGGAGTTTTTTGTCTCCGCTGTTCTGTCTGCTTTTACCAAGATTGTGGCACAAACGATCTGGATTCATGGTGAAGCAGAGAAATAAATATTTTAGGATAAAGACGATCAGGTTTGAAGCTGAAAAGCCCGGTTACCTGGTTTTATTTTCCCTTTAACTGTCCGGTTTTCGGGGTAAAATGTTACAAATCCTGCTTTTAAACTTGGTTTGTCCTTTCTGATGAGTAGCCGGACCAGGTCTGAACAGGGCCGAGTAGAATCTCTAAAGTTCTCTGATAACTCCAAACACACTTCTCTTACATAGAGGAGCTGCCAGCCAGACTTTATTTCCTAACGTTACTCCAACACAACAAACTCTCCCTCGTTTCTGCCGGCGTCTTCCTGCAACAGCTCTCCGAGCGAGACTTCAGACTCTTACGCTGCGTAACTATCAACAGATTAAAGTTTACTCCGAGTCAGACTCGTAAATACTGATGATACTGATGGATGTAATCAATCCTGACGATGTTTTTGTGTTCTATTTGGACAGTCGCAGTAACGCTTCAAAGTCGCTGTGTGATGTACGTATGAGTCTAGTTGTTTTAATATCCTGTATGGACTCTGAACACAGATTTAGTTTGTTCCTTTCTGGACTCCATAGCTGTTTGTTTCCTAACCAATGTTAGGATAAGAAGAAGAGGAACTCCCACTAATAAAGACAATTAATCTTAAGGAAAATTACGTGCCGTCCTGAGCATTTAAACTCGTGCGTCGCCAAAACGCTAGCTGGCGGTGGGGTTTAAGTCCCACTGTGTTGATTTTTTCCTCCTTCTTCGGTGGTGTAGGCTGCTACAGACAATGGCAGCAGTTACTTTTAGTGAAATCACTAAAATGCAGAAACGAGAGAAGGCGTCTGAGGAGATGGTGCTTACGACCCTTGAACCGGTCCTCAAGCGGGAAATGCGACACTACCAAGCCGACCAATCAAGGTTCTTGCGGTCTGTCGCCGCGATGTGTACGGAGGCGGCGTAGATATGACGCTGAAGTGTAAACTGACCTTTAGTCTTATACTCTGGAGAGCAGGAGAGAGATTCATAAAATGTTTTTATTTTCATTAAATGAAAAAGTTGTTTGAGAAAAGCGGAGGGCAATAAATCACATTACATGTCGTCGGTTTAAGCCTGTACAGTAATTATCTTTATTAAACCGAAGCGTGGATGACGGATGTAGAAATCAGGAGAACAAAAACAAGCCACAGGCATCAGGTTTTTCTGGTAATGTGTATTTCAATAAATAAACACAGTTTGGAAAGAAAGCAACAGAAGTGTGACGACAACGTGCACATTAACTGTCGGTGTACAAAAGCCGCGATGAGAGCTGTGAGAACACGTCAACAAAAAGTCTTTAACAAACAAGTTTCAAAAAGCGTTTTACAGTGCAAACAGTCTCATCAAACGTTCCTCTGTTAAAGCCGTCTTTGCTATTGATCAGCGTGGATACATTCAGCTGGAGAAACTAAACTACGTCAGCATTAACACACACAGAGAGAGAGAGTGCCCTGTGAATAAGTTCACTGTTAAACACGACACAGAAAAACACCGTGGGCCGATCTGAGTGCAAATCAATCACTGACAGGAAGTGATCAATAACAACAGCTGACTGACTCCAACTCGTGTCACCGTTAACTCATGAAAACATGAGACACCAAAATCTAACACAATCAGCGACCGTTTGAAATTAACTTCATTTGAATAATTGAATATCGACTTTATTTCTGGAACTCATATTTCACACTTGTGATGTGCATTTTCACTACTTGTGGGCACTTTGTATGAATTCAGAATAAGAGGTTATCGATAATTCATAAAATTACTAGCTACAACAAATGGTTCAGTTTCCATAAATCTAAAAATGTCAGATGTTTTCATGTTGCTGCCTTGCGGGGGATAAAAATATAAACAAACGTTCCCAGGAGAAAGTTTTAGGAGTATTTTCATATTCGTGCAATATTACCATTTATCTGATGTGGCTGAATCTTTGAAGGACGACCGTAAAACAGAGCCGAGTTTAAACCCGTTCTGAGTCGCCACATACGGACGCACGGTCGAGACCCCTTGGCGTCAGTTTGTAACACACTGGGGATCCCCTCAGTAGCATCATAGTTAAGTGCTTAAGTAGGCGTAGTATATAAACAATCCGAGTCAGGAGGTGGATCGAAAACTGGACTTTCAACCAGGAGACCGGTGTTCGTTTTCGCATGTGAAACAAAAAGTCGACAGAAAGATCACGTAAGTAACCAGACTATGATCTTTGCCTGAACCCCGCCAAGTGGGTTTTGGTGCCTAAAACACCCTACACATGCAAAAGCGATGCCGAGGGGTCTTGACCAAGCGTCTATGTGTGACGAGTTGGGAACATAAACATACAGCCCTAATAATTAAATATCAGATAGAAACATTAGGGTTACAATGTTTTTACTTTCTAGATCCAAAATATTTAAAAACAGTGAAAATGCTCATTGCTCGATATTTCGGGGAGCTCGAAATTTTGATAAAGTCAGTCAAGAAGATTTACAGATTCCAAGCTGACTTCTGTGAGAAAATAGTAATATTTTAAGAAAAAAGGGGGGATTTTAAAAGAAAAACTCATTATGTAGGTAAAATTCACATTATCTGCTCTCATAAGTGGTTTTACTAATTAATTTATTAATGTTTTCCTTGTAAATTAATATACGAATCGCTTTATTCTTCTAAAATTAGATATTGAATAATCTGAGCAAAGTCGTGAGGTTTTCACAATAAAAAAAAACCCATCCTGTTAGTGTCCTTTGCATCTGAGTGAAATTTGTTTCTTAATACGAACAGATTTGGATTATATTTACAACAAACTGTTTCGGCATTGCATTATTTTTTTAAAAGACATTTATCAGAAGAAGAAGAATCATGTGGAAGGATTCTGGTGTCTCTGTGGTGTTAACTGATGAACACATGAATAATATCTGGTCTTTGGAGCCTCAGCTGGTCATTTCAATGAACAACAGGTGAAAGAAGAAACACCAAAGTAGCACACAGGCAGATTTAAGGCTTTAGGAGCACACTGAGGAAAACGTCGACATCAAACGGAAAACAAACCACGTTCGTCTCTTCTGTCCACACGTGGATCCAGGCGGCTTCCCTTTAAAATCGCCTTCTCTTCTGTAGTTTTTCAAGTCACTTCCAGTTTGTGAGTCGCAGTTTTTAAACTAAAGCCAGTAAAAAGTCAAAGCTGGGTTACTGTGAATTTTCTTATTTTTTTGTGTGTGTCTTAACTTAAAGGTGAGAAATCAACGAATCAACATAGAGCAGTTGATTTATCAAGATGTTGTGAGGCCGTTGCGTCCATCAAAGGAATCTGAAGCAAACAAACTAAAAAATAAGAAACTAAATTAAAAATAAGAACTTCATTCGGGTTTGTCAGTTTTTTTTAATAACCAAACCAAGTCTGTATTTTATCAGTACTGAGTCTTTATGGGTCTAAATGTGATCAGAAATAGCCCCACGGCGGAGTCGCTAATCAGATCCTCAGTTTATGATACATTCTTAAAACTAACTTTTACATGACTATTTTCTTATTTTTCCCTTTTGTAAATCTCTTCGCTTCTTCCCGCCCCATAGTTTATTTTGGAAAACATGTACGGTAGTCAACGACGAGAAGCGGCTAATGCTTTTATCCTGTTTGAATTGTGTCCTGAACTTCACACGTGATGTTTGTCAGTTTAAAAGATAATTTAAATATAAGAAAGTCTTAGTTTGTTGTAAAACGGAAAAGATTAGTTAGTTTTGAAACCGCTCGATGAACTACATCTCTCGTCTCGTGCAATATACATTGTAAGCTAACGTACTAGCTAGGTAAGTTAGCTGCGTTCTACGCACAGATTTTTCTCACTTGATGTGTTTATTCCAACGACTCCTGGTTCTTTCATCACGTCATCTACACATGGAAGCTCTTTAGCGTTAGCTTTAGTAATGTTAGCTTCAGTCACATTAGCTACAGTAATGTTAGCTACAGTGACTTTAGCTATAGTAATGTCAGCATCAGTGATTTTAGCATCAGTAACAGTTTCAGTGACATTAGCTTCTGTAACATTAGCTTCAGTCACGTTAGCTTCAGTGATGTTACCGTCAGGGATTTGTTGGTGATTTATTGTCAGTGAAGCTAATGATCAGTAACATTAGCTTCTGTCATGTTAGCTTCAGTGAAGTTAGCTTCTGTAACATTAGTTTCAGTCACATTAGCTACAGTAATGTTAGCTACAGTGACTTTAGCTATAGTAATGTCAGGATCAGTGATTTTAGCATCAGTAATAGTTTCAGTGATGTTAGCTTCTGTAACATTAGCATCGGTGATTGTAGCATCAGTAACATTAGCATCAGTAACATTAGCTTATGTCATTTTAGCTTCAGTACGTTAGCATCAGTCACATTAGCATCAGTGATTTTAGCATCAGTAACATTAGCTTCTGTCACGTTAGCTTCAGTACATTAGCATCGGTGATTTTAGCATCAGTAACATTAGCTTCTGTCACGTTAGCTTCAGTACATTAGCATCGGTGATTTTAGCATCAGTAACATTAGCTTCTGTCACGTTAGCATCAGTGATTGTAGCATCAGTAAGATTAGCATCGGTGATTTTAGCTTCTGTCACGTTAGTCTTATACTTCAACCGTTTTATGACAAACTGCGACTTTCTTGACTTTAAATTATCTTTTTGACAAACATCGTGTGTGTAGCTCAGGACACAAATCAAACGGGATCAAAACATTAGTTGTCTCTCGCCGTTGACTACTGAACATATTTTTTCCTAAATAAGGTCCTGTGGCGGTCCACCTGAAGGGGCGGGGCTTACACTCATATAAAAGCACCCAGCTGGGACCGACTGATCAGAAGAGCCACAGAAACGTTGAAGCCAGTTGGAATATTTAAAGGGAAAAACCCAAAACTGTGATTTTACTTTCACAACATGAGAATAAAGTGGTTCTTTTATTTCTTGTAAAATTATGATTTTATTTTGATTTAAGTCATTTTTATATATTTTTTAATATATATTTTAATAAAAGTTTTACCAGATACATGTTGTTCTTGTTTAAGTAGTTGTCATATTCTACTTGTTGCTGTGAACTGGATTATGTTTCAGGTAGCTGAGCAAAAGAAAATGAATCTGCTGATCATCACAGAAAAACAGTAAAAAGTACCAAATAAGTGCTGGTTACAGGTTCTCGTGTGCTTCTTACTGTTGGTATTGGAGCACTGACAGAATAATCAGCATGAAGTCAAAGTTGTGATGAACACTGGTGACTTTCAGATACTTACGAGTCAATAAATGTGTTAACTGAGCGACTAGTAATCCATTTCCTGTTGTGAACGTGTCTGAATAAACACGGGGAGGGGATGCGACCCCCGCTTCGCCCGGTTATAGGAGGGAAGCTGTGCACATTTACCGTTTCCTCTCATACAAAAAAAAAAACGCCTCACGCCGTCTTGAGTGTAAATATTTTACAAAAAGAATAACTCCACGCGGTTCGTACGTGTCGAAAGCAGAACCTTCGGTCAAGGCGTCTCAGTGAGTAAAGCAGCAGGATATTTACAGGAACACGCACGTTCTCCACCTCCCTCACCTTCCGGGTCAGAGTTCAGCCAAAGCCTTTTTTTTTTTTTTTTTAACAATACTTTAAACATCATGTGATCCTGACGCCAGGCCCGTTTCTGTGGAGACGACCTCTTGGACCCAGCAGGGGACTGAAAAGAAGAAGAAGAAGAAGAAGAGGCACTTCTCGGATGGCTGGTTGGTTTGTCGTCCCCTCTGACAGAGTCTCTCTGCGTTCGGGTCGTCTCCTCCGACTCGTCTTCAGGTGTTCGGTGGTCGCTCTGGCCACCGGGCGGCGCTGCTGTGGTCTCAGTGGCCTGATGCAGGAGGCACTTGGTAGTGACGCTCTGAGTCCAGCTCTGCTATGTCATCAGGATGGGCTTCTGCCGGACCTCCAGGATATCTGACGAAACGACACACAGTGAGTCTACGGCGAACCCGCTGACATTTAGTCCTTACAACTTACTACTTGCTACTAGGACTTAATTACTAGGTACTAGTAACTATTCCCGTTTTACTAGAACCTGCTGACTAGATCCTGGTAGTTATTTTTGGTTTTACTAGAAACTGCTGACTAGATTCTGGTAGTTATTTTTGGTTTTACTAGAACCTGCTGACTAGATCCTGGTAGTTATTTTTGGTTTTACTAGAACCTGCTGACTAGATCCTGGTAGTTATTTTTGGTTTTACTAGAAACTGTTGACTAGATCCTGGTAGTTATTTTTGGTTTTACTAGAAACTGTTGACTAGATCCTGGTAGTTATTTTTGGTTTTACTAGAAACTGCTGACTAGATCCTGGTAGTTATTTTTGGTTTTACTAGAAACTGCTGACTAGATCCTGGTAGTTATTTTTGGTTTTACTAGAAACTGCTGACTAGATCCTGGTAGTTATTTTTGGTTTTACTAGAAACTGCTGACTAGATCCTGGTAGTTATTTTTGGTTTTACTAGAAACTGCTGACTAGATCCTGGTAGTTATTTTTGGTTTTACTAGAAACTGCTGACTAGATCCTGGTAGTTATTTTTGGTTTTACTAGAACCTGCTGACTAGCTACTGGTAGTTATTTTTGGTTTTACTAGAAACTGCTGACTAGATCCTGGTAGTTATTTTTGGTTTTACTAGAAACTGCTGACTAGATCCTGGTAGTTATTTTTGGTTTTACTAGAAACTGCTGACTAGATCCTGGTAGTTATTTTTGGTTTTACTAGAAACTGCTGACTAGATCCTGGTAGTTATTTTTGGTTTTACTAGAAACTGTTGACTAGATCCTGGTAGTTATTTTTGGTTTTACTAGAAACTGCTGACTAGATCCTGGTAGTTATTTTTGGTTTTACTAGAAACTGCTGACTAGATCCTGGTAGTTATTTTTGGTTTTACTAGAAACTGCTGACTAGATCCTGGTAGTTATTTTGGTTTTACTAGAAACTGCTGACTAGCTACTGGTAGTTATTTTTGGTTTTACTAGAAACTGCTGACTAGATCCTGGTAGTTATTTTTGGTTTTACTAGAAACTGCTGACTAGATCCTGGTAGTTATTTTTGGTTTTACTAGAACCTGCTGACTAGATCCTGGTAGTTATTTTTGGTTTTACTAGAAACTGTTGACTAGATCCTGGTAGTTATTTTTGGTTTTACTAGAAACTGTTGACTAGATCCTGGTAGTTATTTTTGGTTTTACTAGAAACTGCTGACTAGATCCTGGTAGTTATTTTTGGTTTTACTAGAAACTGCTGACTAGATCCTGGTAGTTATTTTTGGTTTTACTAGAAACTGCTGACTAGATCCTGGTAGTTATTTTTGGTTTTACTAGAAACTGCTGACTAGATCCTGGTAGTTATTTTTGGTTTTACTAGAAACTGCTGACTAGATCCTGGTAGTTATTTTTGGTTTTACTAGAAACTGCTGACTAGATCCTGGTAGTTATTTTTGGTTTTACTAGAACCTGCTGACTAGCTACTGGTAGTTATTTTTGGTTTTACTAGAAACTGCTGACTAGATCCTGGTAGTTATTTTTGGTTTTACTAGAAACTGCTGACTAGATCCTGGTAGTTATTTTTGGTTTTACTAGAAACTGCTGACTAGATCCTGGTAGTTATTTTTGGTTTTACTAGAAACTGCTGACTAGATCCTGGTAGTTATTTTTGGTTTTACTAGAAACTGTTGACTAGATCCTGGTAGTTATTTTTGGTTTTACTAGAAACTGCTGACTAGATCCTGGTAGTTATTTTTGGTTTTACTAGAAACTGCTGACTAGATCCTGGTAGTTATTTTTGGTTTTACTAGAAACTGCTGACTAGATCCTGGTAGTTATTTTTGGTTTTACTAGAAACTGCTGACTAGCTACTGGTAGTTATTTTTGGTTTTACTAGAAACTGCTGACTAGATCCTGGTAGTTATTTTTGGTTTTACTAGAAACTGCTGACTAGATCCTGGTAGTTATTTTTGGTTTTACTAGAAACTGCTGACTAGATCCTGGTAGTTATTTTGGTTTTACTAGAAACTGCTGACTAGATCCTGGTAGTTATTTTTGGTTTTACTAGATCCTGGTAGTTATTTTTGGTTTTACTAGAAACTGCTGACTAGATCCTGGTAGTTATTTTTGGTTTTACTAGAAACTGCTGACTAGATCCTGGTAGTTATTTTTGGTTTTACTAGAAACTGCTAACTAGATCCTGGTAGTTATTTTTGGTTTTACTAGAAACTGCTAACTAGATCCTGGTAGTTATTTTTGGTTTTACTAGAAACTGCTGACTAGATCCTGGTAGTTATTTTTGGTTTTACTAGATCCTGGTAGTTATTTTTGGTTTTACTAGAAACTGTTGACTAGATCCTGGTAGTTATTTTTGGTTTTACTAGAAACTGCTAACTAGATCCTGGTAGTTATTTTTGGTTTTACTAGAAACTGCTGACTAGATCCTGGTAGTTATTTTTGGTTTTACTAGATCCTGGTAGTTATTTTTGGTTTTACTAGAAACTGTTGACTAGATCCTGGTAGTTATTTTTGGTTTTACTAGAAACTGCTGACTAGATCCTGGTAGTTATTTTTGGTTTTACTAGAAACTGTTGACTAGATCCTGGTAGTTATTTTTGGTTTTACTAGAAACTGCTGACTAGCTACTGGTAGTTATTTTTGGTTTTACTAGAAACTGCTGACTAGATCCTGGTAGTTATTTTTGGTTTTACTAGAAACTGCTGACTAGATCCTGGTAGTTATTTTTGGTTTTACTAGAAACTGTTGACTAGATCCTGGTAGTATTTTTGGTTTTACTAGAAACTGCTGACTAGCTACTGGTAGTTATTTTTGGTTTTACTAGAAACTGCTGACTAGATCCTGGTAGTTATTTTTGGTTTTACTAGAAACTGCTGACTAGATCCTGGTAGTTATTTTTGGTTTTACTAGAAACTGCTGACTAGATCCTGGTAGTTATTTTTGGTTTTACTAGAAACTGCTGACTAGATCCTGGTAGTTATTTTTGGTTTTACTAGAAACTGCTGACTAGATCCTGGTAGTTATTTTTGGTTTTACTAGAAACTGCTGACTAGATCCTGGTAGTTATTTTTGGTTTTACTAGATCCTGGTAGTTATTTTTGGTTTTACTAGAAACTGCTGACTAGATCCTGGTAGTTATTTTTGGTTTTACTAGAAACTGCTGACTAGATCCTGGTAGTTATTTTTGGTTTTACTAGAAACTGCTAACTAGATCCTGGTAGTTATTTTGGTTTACTAGAAACTGCTAACTAGATCCTGGTAGTTATTTTTGGTTTTACTAGATCCTGGTAGTTATTTTTGGTTTTACTAGAAACTGCTGACTAGATCCTGGTAGTTATTTTTGGTTTTACTAGAAACTGCTGACTAGATCCTGGTAGTTATTTTTGGTTTTACTAGAAACTGCTGACTAGATCCTGGTAGTTATTTTTGGTTTTACTAGAAACTGCTGACTAGATCCTGGTAGTTATTTTTGGTTTTACTAGAAACTGCTGACTAGATCCTGGTAGTTATTTTTGGTTTTACTAGAAACTAATTACATATTTTTGCCACTGAAATCTCCGGGGCTCTGCAGTTCAGATATTACGGTACTAGCAACTATTCCATCTAACTAGTATCTGTTAGTTGGAGACTAGTACCTGTAGTCACTACTAAATATTCAGTAAACTAGTAAATATTAGTAGGATATTACTAACATTTTCATTCTTACTGGTAAGTATTTTACTAGTAAAAAGGCTTGTTGATAGTAACATTTTAATTCTTTCCAGTAAAAATGAAACAGATGATATCTAAACTGCAGAGCCCCGTAGATTTCAATTAGTTACTAACGAACTACCTAATCAATAGTTACTAGTAAAGCAGGAATAGTTACTGGTGACCAGAGGTGGGTAGAGTAGCCAAAAACAAGTACTCAAGTAGAAGTAAAAGTAGTGATCAAAAAAGTTGTTGAGTACAAAAGTATTTACTAAAAAAATCACTTGAGTAGTGAGAAACTGAGTAAGTCAAGAAATAAAAAATAAAACAAGTCTCTTATTTCAGTCTGGTAGTACTGCGATAAGTAAAGCTTGTTTAAAAAGAAATTCTTTCCTTGTTGTCTATAATATTAAATTATGATTTAGGAGGAAAATCTGTGATGTTCCATAAATTATTGCTTATTAAATGCAGGTGTGTCTGTGTTTTTGTGTAATCTGTCATCAGGCTACGCCAAGATAAATACAGACGGCTTGAATATTTTCATTAAGGTAGAAAGCAGGACGACTTTTTAAGCATGATTTACTGTGTGTAGCCATTATTAAACATATTAGCATTAACACGTGTGACCTCTGACCTGAGGCGCTGCAGCGTGCGTGTGACCTCCGACCTGTGGCGTGTGACCTCTGACCTGAGGCGCTGCAGCGTGCGTGTGACCTCTGACCTGTGGCGTGTGACCTCTGACCTGTGGCGTGTGACCTCTGACCTGAGGCGCTGCAGCGTGCGTGTGACCTCTGACCTGTGGTGTGTGACCTCTGACCTGAGGCGCTGCAGCGTGCGTGTGACCTCTGACCTGTGGTGTGTGACCTCTGACCTGAGGCGCTGCAGCGTGCGTGTGACCTCTGACCTGTGGTGTGTGACCTCTGACCTGAGGCGCTGCAGCGTGCGTGTGACCTCTGACCTGTGGCGTGTGACCTCTGACCTGAGGCGCTGCAGCGTGCGTGTGACCTCTGACCTGTGGCGTGTGACCTCTGACCTGAGGCGCTGCAGCGTGTGTGTGACCTCTGACCTGAGGCGCTGCAGCGTGCGTGTGACCTCTGACCTGTGGTGTGTGACCTCTGACCTGAGGCGCAGCAGCGTGCGTGTGACCTCTGACCTGTGGTGTGTGACCTCTGACCTGAGGCGCTGCAGCGTGCGTGTGACCTCTGACCTGTGGTGTGTGACCTCTGACCTGAGGCGCTGCAGCGTGCGTGTGACCTCTGACCTGTGGCGTGTGACCTCTGACCTGAGGCGCTGCAGCGTGCGTGTGACCTCTGACCTGTGGCGTGTGACCTCTGACCTGAGGCGCTGCAGCGTGCGTGTGACCTCTGACCTGTGGCGTGTGACCTCTGACCTGAGGCGCAGCAGCGTGCGTGTGACCTCTGACCTGTGGCGTGTGACCTCTGACCTGAGGCGCTGCAGCGTGCGTGTGACCTCTGACCTGTGGCGTGTGACCTCTGACCTGAGGCGCTGCAGCGTGCGTGTGACCTCTGACCTGTGGCGTGTGACCTCTGACCTGAGGCGCTGCAGCGTGCGTGTGACCTCTGACCTGTGGCGTGTGACCTCTGACCTGAGGCGCTGCAGCGTGCGTGTGACCTCTGACCTGTGGCGTGTGACCTCTGACCTGAGGCGCTGCAGCGTGCGTGTGACCTCTGACCTGTGGCGTGTGACCTCTGACCTGAGGCGCTGCAGCGTGCGTGTGACCTCTGACCTGTGGCGTGTGACCTCTGACCTGAGGCGCTGCAGCGTGCGTGTGACCTCTGACCTGTGGCGTGTGACCTCTGACCTGTGGTGATGCGGTGCAGCGGCAGCGTGACGTAGGTCAGGTGTGAGTAGAGCAGGAAGTAGTCATCCGTCCGGTTGAGTTTGAGCCAGGAGCCGACCAGCGAGCGTCCGGTCCCCGACAGAGAGCGGGAGCGGAGGTTGGTGGTGGTGTGAAGATCTGAAGCACAAAGCAGGTTCATCGTTAGCGCTGATGATTTAAGCCGACACAGTCCTGCTGAAATAAAACAGACGCTGAAGGAAAAACCGGGCCGGCCAGTTTGCGTCTCAGTTTATTTTTCACCTTCGTCGTCTTCCTCCCTGAAGAACTCCTCGCTGTCGTTGGCCGAGTGAGACTTCTTCATCTCTGCGTTTCGGTTTCGGGGAACTTTCCGCCTCAGCGATGGAGAGAAGAAGGAGGGGCGGTTCCTCTCGGGGGTCGGAGGTGTGCTGAAGGACGTCACCTGGAGGACGACACGTCGTCAACATACTGAGTCACGTTTCCACTTTATACGCCAGCACGCCTCAGAGGCAGAGTGGAAGTGCATGTCTGACAGCTTCAGGTTACCCACGCATCTGCAGGCGTTAGTGAAAACCTGCAGGACTTCCTTTAGGTTCTGAGAAAACAAACTCCTCCCTGTGTCAGCTGGAAACAGGAAGCTGCAGATTAAACTAACCAACAGGATGTGAAGCAGAATAAATTCTGTCTCTGCAACTCCATTACAATTTTAAACCAAATCGAGGGAATTGTGAACCAGAAATGTAATCCGACGCTCCCGTACGCCAGAGCCGTTTTCCTGCCGCTGATTAATGTCAGCTGATGGAACTCCAGGGCTCACGAGGTTCTGGGAGGACGTTTTCAGTTTGCTCGGTGCTGTTTATAACAGACAACTGGTCCCTGACCGTCTCGCGGTGATACCGCTGTTTGGTATCCTAAAGGAACTACAGCTACATTTATTCATGACGCTTTTATCCAAAACGACCTACAGGCATGTGTCTTATCCACTGCGCCATCCCCACCCCTGTCAGCTTCCCTACAGTGACAGGTCTATATCCACTGGGCCACCGTGCCGCCCCCGGTCAGCGTATCGACACTTATAATTATATCAGTCAGCTTTTACTTTGAGAAGTTCTGAAATGTAAAATGCGGATCAAACGCCAGGACGCACACAGAGCAGCTCACGCTTTACTGTGAGCATGTGCAGAAGCGTCCTTCTAATCAGTTTGTTTCACGAGGGAGAAAAAAAGCATCTTAGCAGGATGTCGGGATCGATCATGAAACCCTCCCATCAGGAGTCTCGCACTCTACCGGCTGAGCTAAGCGAGGATTTGAAACAACTTGACTTTGTTTCCGACCCGCCATGTTAACGACTTATGCGCCGACCCCTGGAAAGAGAAACACTGACAGCAACATTTTACTGCAACATGAGTACTTCTACTTTCGTACTTCATGTACATGCTGCTGATAATACGTATTGGAGTGTTTTCAGGATCTGAATACTTCTCCCAACACCAACGTGGCGGCCTGAGCAACAGAAACTTGTGTATTTGATGGACACGTGTTGCAGCTCAGGTGAACACGTGGCGTAAATTAAATGGATCAAACGTTTGGCACGTTCCCTTAAACGACGACTTCAATCGATTATAATAATAATCACATGATCATTTCAGCTCTGAACGATCAGGCCGGCGTGTTTCTCTGATCGATTTGATGTGTGAAACCGGAGAAACTGGATTTCGGTCAGTCAGCAGATGATTTGGTAAAAACAAAACTTCCTCCTGAGCTCTGAGGATCCATCTGGAGGACAGACTGTTAAAAGATGTATGATCCAGTCGGCCGCATCCATTATTGATCGTGACCTGATTTCACGTCTTTGTGCGGAGCGTGGTCGTGCTGCCCGCCGTCGCCTCTCGGGGTTTTCTGTTCTGTTGCTCGACAGCCGCAGACAAACAGGAAGTGAAACTGCTCCTCGGTTCTGCTGAAAACCTCCACCGCTTGTAAACTGACTGACGGGAAGTTTGTAAATTCAGGCTGCGAAACACCAGACGGAGTCTTTTAAAGTCTTTCTAATGAAGCCTGCAGGATAGAAGTTCATGCAGGCGGGTGGAACAGAAATATCCTGATAAAATGAGTTTCACCTCATTTGCACACAAAACGTCTTGGAAAGAACTTTGATCTGTTTTCAGATATTTATGTTCCACCTCGTCGCTCCACGCAAAGACATCTCTGCTGGTCTTCATTCGTCTCTAGCAGTGCTGGACAGGAGGACAGAAAGAGAGAAGGACAGAAAGAGAGAAGGACAGTAGGACAGTAAGAGAGTAGTACTGGACAGAAGGACAGAAAGACAGAAGGACAGTAAGAGAGAAAGACAGAAGGACAGTAGTACTGGACAGAAGGACAGTAAGAGAGAAGGACAGTAGGACAGTAGTACTGGACAGAAGGACAGTAAGAGAGAAGGACAGTAGTACTGGACAGAAGGACAGAAAGAGAGAAGGACAGAAACACAGAAGGACAGTACGAGAGAGACAGTAGGACAGTAAGAGAGAGACAGTAGGACAGTAGTACTGGACAGAAGGACAGTAGTACTGGACAGAAGGACAGTAAGAGAAGGACAGTAGTACTGGACAGAAGGACAGAAACACAGAAGGACAGTAAGAGAGAAGGACAGAAGGACAGTAGTACTGGACAGAAGGACAGTAAGAGAGAAGGACAGAAGGACAGTAAGAGAGAAGGACAGAAGGACAGTAGTACTGGACAGAAGGACAGAAACACAGAAGGACAGTAAGAGAGAAGGACAGTAACACAGAAGGACAGTACGAGAGAGACAGTACAGAAACACAGAAGGACAGTAAGAGAGAGACAGTAGGACAGTAAGAGAGAGACAGTAGGACAGTAGTACTGGACAGAAGGACAGAAACACAGAAGGAGAGTAAGAGAGAAAGACAGAAGGACAGTAGTACTGTAAGAGAGAAGGACAGAAGGACAGTAAGAGAGAAGGACAGTAGGACAGTAGTACTGGACAGTAGGACAGTAAGACAGAAGGACAGTAGTACAGTAAGACAGAAGGACAGTAGTACTGGACAGTAGGACAGTAAGACAGAAGGACAGTAGTACTGGACAGTAAGAGAGAAGGACAGAAGGACAGTAGTACTGGACAGTAGGACAGTAAGAGAGAAGGACAGAAGGACAGTAAGAGAGAAGGACAGAAGGACAGTAAGAGAGAAGGACAGAAGGACAGTAGTACTGGACAGTAGGACAGTAGTACTGGACAGTAGGACAGTAAGACAGAAGGACAGTAGTACTGGACAGTAGGACAGTAAGAGAGAAGGACAGTAGTACTGGACAGTAGGACAGTAAGAGAGAAGGACAGAAGGACAGTAGTACTGGACAGTAGGACAGTAAGAGAGAAGGACAGAAGGACAGTAGTGGACAGAAGGACAGAAACACAGAAGGACAGTACGAGAGAGACAGTAGGACAGTAGTACTGGACAGTAGGACAGTAAGAGAGAAGGACAGTAGGACAGTAGTACTGGACAGTAGTACAGTAAGACAGAAGGACAGTAGTACAGTAAGACAGAAGGACAGTAAGACAGAAGGACAGTAGGACAGTAAGAGAGAAGGACAGAAGGACAGTAGTACTGGACAGAAGGACAGAAACACAGAAGGACAGTAAGAGAGAAGGACAGAAACACAGAAGGACAGTACGAGAGAGACAGTACAGAAACACAGAAGGACAGTAGTACTGGACAGAAGGACAGTAAGAGAGAAGGACAGAAAGACAGTAGTACTGGACAGTAGTACAGTAAGACAGAAGGACAGTAGTACAGTAAGACAGAAGGACAGTAGTACTGGACAGTAGGACAGTAAGACAGAAGGACAGTAGTACTGGACAGTAGGACAGTAAGAGAGAAGGACAGAAGGACAGTAGTACTGGACAGTAGGACAGTAAGACAGAAGGACAGTAGGACAGTAAGACAGAAGGACAGTAGTACTGGACAGTAGGACAGTAAGACAGAAGGACAGTAGGACAGTAAGACAGAAGGACAGTAAGAGAGAAGGACAGAAGGACAGTACTGGACAGAAGGACAGAAACACAGAAGGACAGTACGAGAGAGACAGTAGGACAGTAGTACTGGACAGTAGTACAGTAAGACAGAAGGACAGTAGTACAGTAAGACAGAAGGACAGTAAGACAGAAGGACAGTAGGACAGTAAGAGAGAAGGACAGAAGTACTGGACAGAAGGACAGAAACACAGAAGGACAGTAAGAGAGAAGGACAGAAACACAGAAGGACAGTACGAGAGAGACAGTAGGACAGTAGTACTGGACAGAAGGACAGAAACACAGAAGGACAGTAAGAGAGAGACAGTACAGAAACACAGAAGGACAGTAGTACTGGACAGAAGGACAGTAAGAGAGAAGGACAGAAGGACAGTAGTACTGGACAGTAGGACAGAAACACAGAAGGACAGTAAGAGAGAAGGACAGAAGGACAGTAGTACTGGACAGAAGGACAGTAGTACTGGACAGTAGTACAGTAAGACAGAAGGACAGTAGTACTGGACAGTAGGACAGTAAGAGAGAAGGACAGTAGGACAGTAGTACTGGACAGTAGGACAGTAAGACAGAAGGACAGTAGTACTGGACAGTAGGACAGCAAGAGAGAAGGACAGAAGGACAGTAGTACTGGACAGAAGGACAGAAACACAGAAGGACAGTAAGAGAGAGACAGTACAGAAACACAGAAGGACAGTAGTACTGGACAGAAGGACAGTAAGAGAGAAGGACAGTAGGACAGTAAGAGAGAAGGACAGTAGGACAGTAAGAGAGAAGGACAGAAGGACAGCAGTACTGGACAGAAGGACAGTAAGAGAGAAGGACAGAAGGACAGCAGTACTGGACAGAAGGACAGTAGGACAGTAAGAGAGAAAGACAGAAGGACAGTAAGAGAGAAGGACAGTAGGACAGTAAGAGAGAAGGACAGAAGGACAGTAGGACAGGAGAAGACAATCTGCTGCATCAGTGGTTTTGGGTCAGCGCCCCCCCTCTATCCATCATCCAGGTCCTTTATTGCCCCCCATCAAAAAAAAGATGTTTTTCTGAATTTTTTTATTTTATTTATTTATTGTAGTTGTTGTTGTTGTTAAAAACACATAACTGAATGACAACATATTGATTCATTTCCCAGGTAACAAATGTTTCCCATGTGAAAATGTTATCATTATATTTAACTAATAAGTGAAGTGGGGGGTCTGAGGCTCCTCCCCCAGAGGAATCTGAGCATTAAACACTTCATTTCCTGCATTCTGCTGAAATGCTGCTCCAATTTATGGTGGAAATGTCTTTTTATATAACGGGACTCAAAGTATATAATAGAATCTAACGCAGTCAGGCTCTCAGGCTCTCAGGCATTCAGCTTGTTTCATTTCATGCGAAACTGACCGACACCTGTGACCAGACAGAAAGCTCACCTGTTAACCCCAACAGAGCAACAGGGCTTCAGGTTTTAGCGTTACACAGAATATCCCTGTTGTAAACGTGGAACCAGAAGACGTTCGCGGTGTGTTCCTCAGAGAAATAAACACTTTTCCACAGTAATACCAAGAAACACAGCGTTAAGTTTCCAAAAATAATAATAATAGTGGTCTAAAATAGACGGAGATCATTTGTGACACGCAGCTAAAGTGTGGACGAGGCCTGAGAATAACTTTAACAGGTCGGTTTAATAACTTGACTAAAGCTGGAAACAGGAGTGTAAAGAAAGTGGAAATAACAAAAGTTGTACTTGAGGTCTCGGGTTTCACGGTGTTTGTGCTCCTCACCCTCTCGTGCATGGGGGACACCTGGTCCTCCTCGGTGCCGCAGGGGGAGGTGTCGCCCGTCGGCACCCTGCTGACGGCCATCTCGGCGTGACCTTTGCCCTGCGGCCCCTTCATCCTCACAAACTCCATGTTGTTGTACTTGTAGAAGCCAAAAGACATCCGCTGGGCCATCTTAGCAGCGACGCTCACCTGCAGCACAAACAGTGTTAAATTTGGATTTAATCACCTCGACTCTCAAAATATTGTCCGTATTTCTAAGTAGCAGAAACTGTAGTTTCTATCCGTGTGTCCCTCCACGTGTCCCCCAGTGACACAGAAAGGGTCTAATTAGTACATCACACCAAAATCTTTCTTCTCCGGGAGCCGTTTGTTTCAACATCGAGCAAATAAATGAGCAGGACGCGTTTGGACTTTTCTTTTTTGTTTCTTCTGCCCCACCTTGTTCTGCTGTTGTAATAAAAAAACCTTTCATAAATAAAACAAACAATAAAAGTACTTGTCATCCACATGTTTGAGTCAAGCGAGATGGCGAACAGCATTTAGCTGACGGCTTCTCACCCGGTTGTCGTAGACCTTCTTGAGGGCCTCATAGCGGATCGAGCCCTGGAAGATGACGCCCTGGAAGGTGTTGCTCTTGTCGCTCGCCACCAGCTCCACGCACACCATCTCCCCCTCGCCCACCGTCATGTCACTGAACACCTGCACGAACACCACAAGAGGAATGATTTCCTTTACCGGCCTTGAACGAGGGCCTCTGCAGACTCGTGATAAAGTTCAGAGACAAACAGCCTGGGACCGTCGGGTTCAGCCGAGCGACTTTAAACACTTATTGACTTCCAGCAGAGGAAACTCTGATCTGGTGTTTTTCCCTCCAGTCGGCCAATAAAACGAGGTGTTAGTGCAGGAGCTTGTTTTTAAAAGCATCAGGTTTACGCTTCATTCACCTCCAATCAGCTGCTGCAGTTTTAAACAAATGTACTTTTTACACCCGATCAATACTTCAATAATCGCAGTAAACCATCCGACCCCTGAGCTGCTCCCAGTCCGTTTCACTCCTTCATGTTTACGAGCTCAATTTGATCTGAACTTACAGTATTATAGGGCGGCAACTAACGATTATTTTCATTATCGATTATTTTCTTGATTAGCTGTTAGGTTCAGAAAATTGTGAAAACTGTCGATCAGTGTTTCCCAAAGCTGAAGGTGACGTCCTCAAAGGTCTCGTTTTCTCCACAACCCAAATATATTCAGTTTACTGCCACCGAAGAGCAAAAGCAGCAGAAAATATTCACATTTACGAAGCTGGAATCAGAGAATTTAGACATTTTTTCTCAAAGCCATTAATTATCAAAATAATTTACAACTAATCGGTTAATGGACTAATTGTTGCAGCTCTGCAATAATACATCACAACTTGTTAGTTAGCAGCTGGATGATGAAGTGTCTCTGCCCTTTGAACAGCAGGGCAGTGCAGGTTTGAAAAACTCCAGTAACCGTCTTTCAGGCCAAATGCGAGGCGCGCGTTGGGGGCGGCGCCATTACATGCAAAGACGAGGAGAGACGAGATATCCCGGCGGAGATGCAAAGGCGCAAGTTGAAACTCAGGATTACTATTTCAAAAAGAGAAGATTACGGTTACTAATCCCAGTTACGCTGCTTTACTGCGTTACCACCATCCTTGACGTGCACGCGTGACGGTGCTGCAGGTCAGAGCGAGTTCAGGCTGAGAAGCCGGACCTGATGTTCACCTCAGCTAAATGAAGGACAGAAGGAGAGAGAGGCGTTCTTCCCACAGCTGGACGCATCACCGTCATTGTGTCACAGTCTGAGGTGTAAAGAACATGTCGTCCGTTGTCAACTTTGTTCGACCAGCAAAAATCTTTCAACCGCCAACAATTCTACACGTGATTTCCTGAAGCGCCTGAAGCAGCACAGCTGAAACTCCGAGACCTGCTTTATTTGTTTATTTCTGCCAGAGGCCTTAAGAAACTAAAATGATATCAGTTAGTCGGGAGAGACCTGCTTTATTTTTATTTATTTTTGCATCCTCTGGTCTGAGAGGCTGCATGTTTCCAGTTTGGCTGCTTGTCGACTCCTCAGGTTCATTATTGTTCCAGTGGATTCATCTCTAAACAGCGTGCGTGTGAAAGTAACATAAGTCATATTAGCCGAACTCTGCTCATTTCACAGGCTGCCGTGTGGCTCAGAAAGGGTTAAAGTCGGGAGAGAAACGTCACCTCCTCAAAGTTGTCGATCATGAAGAAGATGTTCGGGTAGCTCATCTTGGACTCCTCTCCTTTGCTGTCCATGGCGTGTTTGCTGGGAGATGCAAACACTTCCTGTGAAAAGGTCAGACAGACAGAACGGATGAAAGGTCGGCAGCTTCATTAACGTCCGCTCAGATAAACGCTGGCCCGGCTTCCTACCTGACATTTCTTCTTGTGGATGTGGATATCTCCTGCGTCTGAGCGCGTGCACACGGCACACGTCACCACGTAGTCCAGCTGCAAGAGAGCAGAGTTATTTCAGGTTACTGTTGGCGTCAGTGGACAAAGAATAATCACAAAATCTACCTGCCGTCAGACTGAAATACGGTAATTGTTTCCTGCTTCCTGTCCTTCTTTCTATCCTTGCGTGGGCGCTGACTGAACGCCACCTTGTTACTGCTTTGTTCAGTTTGCTTAGTGTCTTAAGTTAAAGTTAAACTGTGTTGTAAACAGAAAGTATTTTGCGTTGTCGCTGAGATTAAAACATTTTATTTTGGGCCAACCTTTGGGTCTCACTGCTCCCTTATCTCCTGCTACACTCATGAGCTGATGTTTTTCTTCTCCGTCACTGCTTTGTCAAATGTTTAAGTGTAAATGAAACCACAGTGCAGTAAAGTATTCATACAAATGTGTAGTAAAAAGTTGGTAGTACATACTGTAGTTATCTATCTGTGTGTCCCTCCATGTGTCCCCCAGTAAGACAGAAAAAGGCCTAATTAGTACATTTTACACAATCACACCGAAATCCTGACACAAGTTCTTCTCCACGAGCAGTTTGGCCGAAAGACACGGACATCGACTGTTTTTCAACATCTTGCAAAGAAATAACCTGGAAATTTGTAACAAATATCCAAAATAAGTTGTTTTCTTTTTAATGACAAAGTATCTCAAACACAAATGGCCGTATTCTCCTGTAGATAATCAAAGTCCTCACGCACCACATGCTTCAAGTCTGTAAATCTCTAAAATTCATCAAATATAAAAAAAATCATCTGCATTAAAAAGATATTTTATGCTCATCAAAACTTGTGACCTGTAATATTCGGGTTTAATCTTTAATCATGATGAATTATAGTGCAGTACAGTTCAGACTGCGGTGTTTTTGTTCAGACCTGATGTGTTTCTAACAGTGTGAACAATATATTAACTCTTCTGTTCATTTTGTGGAGCGACGCGCTTCAAACAGCTGTAGAATGACCATGTTTCATTGGCCAGTTGCCCTGTCACGTGTGAGCGTGAGCACACGGGTCCAGTACACAAAAATTCACCTTGGAGCACGCCACGTGATGCATGTGCGTACTTTGAGAGAGAGAAACTAAAAGAAAAGAACGGACAGAAAAGCAATATCGTGCAACCCTAAAGTGAACAAGAATCTCAGCTCAGATTTGGGATCCACCAGATGCAGCCTGGAATTTTAAAAAAATATGCGACCTCAGTGTGGACGGTCAGATCGGGATGTCACGATAACAGATACTTCTGTAATAATGAAGGTGCTTGTTTTTCTAGGTACCAAAGTTAACGGGGACGCAAAACGCGGAAGATGGTGACAAGTGCAGCTGCAGCTCCGCGGCGACTCATCGAAAAGACAAACAGTAAGAGTCGTGTGTGGAGAAACTTACGGGGACTTTAGTCAGAGACCGCTGGCGTTTACAGGTACACGTTTACAGCCAAGCTCGGAGTTGGCTGCCATCCCTCACTGTACCGTCTGTGTCATCTGTCATTTCTGGACTGATGGTGTCACCACGTCAGGACATTTAAAGGCTGAGCAGACGTGTGTGTGACCTCTGCTGCTGTTTTACAGTCACTGAGCTGATCATTTAGTAAAGCAGCGTGTGTTGAAGTACTCTGGATTTATTATGTAGCTTTAACAACTACTAAATTTCTGGTATCGTGACGTCCCTGCTTAACTCTAGAGCGAGTTCGGGCGGAAACAGTAGAGAGAGAGCTGTAAGGCCGTACGGCGCAGGAAACTGTAATGAAGACGATGAAAAGGACAAAGTTGTGAAGATTTGTCAGAAGCCGGAAAGCGGTAGAGGGCGATGAAACTAGCAGGAGCTAACCTCTGAGGCCTCCACGTTTACCTCCGTACGCCAGCGTACTGTTCTCAGAGAAATCTGATGTGGGCAGTCACGCCTCGCATGATGAGTGTGACATGAAAGTGTTTTTGTGCGTCTGAAGCTGAAGTCGTGTCCATCGCCACCACTGTGAGCGGGACAGTGTTGCGGTAGTTTTCACCTTCTGCAGGATGAGGTTCAGGTAGACGCTCTCCTCCCAGTCGATGTCCGGGTCTCCGAGGCCCGGCAGCTTCTTGGAGTCTCCTGTAGACCTCCACCTCCACCTGAAACAGAGCCGACACGGCGGATCAGAACAGCTACTGATGACGTTACAACACACAACGTATATCTGACAGCGAGTTTATGAGAGCGGGTCGATCCGGGAGCGGAGGAACCGGAGTAACGTCAGTTTGACGTCAAAAGGAGATCCGAGACTCTGAGCTGCAGCAGGTGGATCGGACTTCAGCTGAACCCGTTAACGCGATAAGGATCCATCGTTACCGATTTCTCCTGTATGAAACATGCAGAGCCTTTGTGTGGTTTCGCCAATTTATTCACAATTAAAAAATGAAATCGAGCTCAGGTGCATCCTGTTCGCTCTCATTTTCTTTGACATTTCCCAAAGATCCTGATTCAGTTCATTTTAATTAATTCAATTGATCAGGCAGGATTTTAAAAAGGCACACAGCTGTTTGTGTGACTGGACACGTCGCTGGTTTATGTCATACCGGAGTTACAGAGCCCAGAGTGACTCCTTCACTACGCAACAGTACAAAGTTCAACATTATTACAAATGGTAGCCAGTTAATCTCTCTGTCAGCTGAACTTTATAACTGCTGGAGTTCATTTATAACTAAACATGATATTTATAAACTCTTCATGTGTTTTGTGGGAAGAAGCTGAAGCTGTCAGATAAATTTAGTGAAGTAAAAAGAACAACATCTCCCTCTCAGATGAAGCAGAAGGAGAAAGAGGCGTGAAAAGAAAATACTCAAGTAAAGTAGCTCAAATTTTAAGTACAGTACTTGAGTAAATGCACTTAATTACTGCAGCGCAGCAACATGTGGATGGAAGAAGCCACTGTGACGTTTGAACAGATACGCTCAGATTTATCAAACCTAATTCATCTTCTCTGGTGTCTGTCGTTCAGAGGGTGGCGGTTTATCCCAAGTCCATGTGAGGAGAATCAATCTGCGGCTTCGGCTCTTTCCTGCACGCTGCGATGTTACAGCCGTCTGAGACGTTGGGCCGTACAGTCGTGTCACATCTGGCGTCAGATATTGAGCTCCAATAATCAACCAGAGAGCGACATGACCAGAACATGTGGCCCAGTGAGACCAGGTCACTGCACCAATTCAATTCAGCTTCATCAGCATGAATGTAAAACAACAATATTGACAAAGCTATAAATAAATCACAAAAGAACAATTCCTTTCATACAGTTCATTAAATAAAGTAAATAAAATACAGTAAAAGTGTCTGTGTGTCTTAAAAAACATATATATATATATATATATATATATATATATATATATATATATATATATATATATATATATATATATATATATATATATATATATATAATAATATATAAATAAAAAGTGTTAAAAAATGTGAATAAAATATTAAAAATGTAATAAAATAAATAAAAACAACGTGTGTATATTAAGACAAATAAAATATGTATTATAAAACAATGACTAAAAAAAATCTAAATGTGAAATTTAAAAAACAACAAAGGAATTATAAAGAAAATAATATTAATTTGGACAGTGGCTTCGACAGATATCACAGGGTAAAAACAAAGTGTAGCGCAGTATCATGTGGATCTTTCTCACCTCTGCTGTCGTCTCATGAGGCAGATGTTTAACGTGCTGAAGGCAAAATGGAGAACAATGTCAACTTGGGCGGGACGGCGTGACCACGGAGAAAATACCTCAAAGACGTCTCCCTCTCAGGAAACATCTATTTTTCTGCTTTTTTTTGCAGAGTCAGCAGCTTCTTTTCTGTTTCTGTTCCCTTTCTGTAACATGAAGCAGCGTTTTCTTCTTCTCGCAGCAGAAAACAACCTCTGAACGAGCGAGGGCACCAAACAGAATCCGATGCTTATTAAAACGTGAAAAAACGAGAATGTAAATGTTTTGTATTTGTGTGCGTTTTACTGTTTTGAGTGTGAAGGGGGATTTCCTTCCCAGTGTAAACATCCCTGCGCTCTAAATGGCTGGTGAGCGAAATGAATCCTGGCGTGTGGAGGATTCTCCCCGCAGACACGAACCTCTACCTGGTGTGTTTAGAGAGAGACGAGGCGGAGAGGGGAGGCCGGGACTGTGGCTGATGATCGGGAGAATCACTAAATAATGAATAAGAGACCGAGCCGCGAACGTGACTGACCAACAGGAGAAAGGAAGAAGGAAGTGAAGAAAAGAAACATCCTGAGCAGTTGATTCAGGCTCCTGCTCTTTCCTGACCGTCATTCTCCAGGACTTTTCCAGGACTTTTCCAGGACTTTTCCAGTGATGATCCAGCCGGTATGACAGGGATCAGGTCAAACACGTTCCTCTCTGCAGAAATCTCATCTGTGGAATCATTGTTTCATTATTATTTTTTAGAAAGCTTTTTGTGTTCTCTGCTCTGCAAGTCCTTTTTGTCTCCTAACAAATCCCAGCGTTCTCCTGAACTTTAGTTTCCTAAAATCTCTGTAAGGGACAAAGAGTTCTGTCTGATGCAGTTCATTGTTCTGAACCCGGCTTCACTCTTATCCAACTTTCTCCACACACCAACACATGAGAAGGACGACGAAGACGAGGAGGAGGAGGAGGAGAGGGCTTAGTGCACCACATCTGTGTTGATTTGAGATACTATGCTGCTGAATTGTACGTAAATAAGTACACAGTGTACACAGTGTACTGCATGTTAGTGTACTAACACAAGTATCCGAATAGAGAAACACAGCTTCAGTTTTGTCTCTACTCAAGTAATTTTTCCTCCTTTTTTAGCTTTAGCTGCAGCGTTCGGTCCTCTCCTCATCTGTCCTGTGTGACCTTTAACCTTTCTGTGGGCTCATGGGAAATGGTGTTCACTAAAGGCCTCCAGAAATACTGAATAAACAACGTATTTATGGCTTTTAAAGACTCCCCTGGGCGTTTGGAGTGAAGCACACACTGTTTGATGAGCCAGATATTCAGTTCTGTGTTTACTACAAAGTGATTCTGGACGCGGTTTTTGTGGAACAGAAACGCTTCCTGTTTCACTTCAGCTCGCTGCGGCGGCCTCGTCTGAGCCTGAATCCTCCAACAGCAGAGTCACTTCAGTCCGGTCCGTCTGACGTGTCCGGGCTGCAGCCGGCTGCTGATGGACGAGGAGGCGGCGGCGGCACAATGACGTGTAACCATGGAACCAGGGACAGACGGGGGACATGGGACAAACTACAAAAAGGCAGACGCAGACGTGTCCGGGCCAAATGTAATAAAAACGAGATGAAAGGGAGAAACAGAAGCTCGACTGCAGTAACTCTGCAGTACATTATACACACACACACTTCAGTAAATACTGCACAGTATATAATGTACATGCATTATACAGTATATAAATAACTTACATTTGTACTTTATCTGTTTAAAGGATGTTGATCTGTAAGTTTTAAAGAAAAGTTTTTAAGGTTTTTTAAAATGTAACAGAAACTTTGTTGTTTTCACACATTTCTTTTCTTTGTTGTTAATTTAAAGTACAATTCAGGTAACAACATCAAAGGTTTATAAAGATTAATTAAATAAAAACATTTTATTTTATCAATTATCTCTTTGTTTCCTTTTATTTGTCTTCTCTTCTCCTCACTTTCTTAATCAATATATTCATTCTCATAACTTGTCCCAGCAGAGAGTTTTTACATTTAGTTCTTCTGCTGTAAAGACAGTTGGATTCTGAAACAGCTGAAAGCTGCGACTGAAGGGAAAATTGAAAGTGGCTGTGCGTTCGTCTCCTACACAGTTTCTACATTTGAATCGTCTCGTCGAGAACAAAAGCTTCGCACTGATGTAGAAAACAGGACCCGAGAAGAAACCCTTTGGATAAAAACCACCAGCAGCTTCCCGTTTTATTACAACGAGGCACACTTCAGTTTTTGGGGACGCCTTCCTTTTATGTTTCCTGTAATAAACATCAGTGTCCAGTTATTAGGAACACCAGCAAAAACTAATCTAACAGTTCTCCTCCCTGTATGTTCTCATGTTCAGTTTGTCATCGGTTCACAGGTGTTTCTGTTATCCAGCCTGTTCTCACTGATAAATGGGGTGGACAAAATAGCAGAAACAGCTCTCAGTCTGATCTGTACTCTGCTTCAACTGACTTCTTACAATTCTTATGAGGTTTTTGCTCATGTTTTAATGAAAGTGAATGTTCACCACTTCAAGGTCAACAAGGACAAAGCAGATAATGTCTAAAGCAGGATCTGAGCCGAGGAGATCAATACCGTCT